GGCTTAAGTGGAGAGGAAATGTTTTGAGAATGATGAGGGCAATGAATGTACAAATGCGCTTTACACAATTGATGTATATATGGATTGTGATAAGAGTTGTATGAGCTCCTAATAAAATGATTTTTTTTTAAATTATATTTACTTAGAAGCATTCAGAATGTCAACAAAACAGTTGCAACTTTTTTGTTGTTGCTGCAATTACAGAGTGGTATTCAGTTAACAGAACAACAATTATTTTGTATAAGCTCTATCATAGACAACTGAAGAGGGGAAAAAAATGAAACAAAAAAAACTACCATCCCCATATATAACTAATTTGTGCTGGGCACCAACAAGAACCTGCTTTAAATTTCCATGCCAATTAACAACCCCATACTAGACCAGGCAAGGTCAGTGGCTATTGAAAAGACCACCAGGACAGGGCTATCTAAAGACACATTCGGTAGTGTGTTAACTATTTAAAAAAAAAGACACTGTACAGTTTAAAATCAAATCTTACACAGCCTTATGTTTCAATTTTTTTCTTTAAAAGGAGTGAGTTGTGTACAGGGGGGTTAAATGCTTTACAGACAAGAAAAAAACCGTGCTAGAACCAACTTGTTCCTCATCATCATCTTCTTCATCTTCGTCTTCCTCGTCCTCTTCCTCCTCTCCATCTTCCTCATCGTCTTCGTCCTCCTCTTCCTCCTTCTTTTTCTTGCTTTTCTCGGCCTTGACGATGCCCTTTTTGGGAGCATCGGGCTTCACTTCAGCCCGGTACGCAGCGATATCCTTTACATATTTCTCCTTCAGCTTGGCGGCCTTCTTCTCCAGGCTGCTTGTCATCGGCCACAGCGTGATTCCACACCTCTCCCAACTTCTTCGCAATGTCCCCGATGGACAGGCCAGGGTGCTCGCCTTTGATTTGGGGGCGATACTCAGAGCAAAATAAGAAAAAGGCCGAAGGAGGCCTCTTGGGTGCATTGGGATCCTTGAACTTCTTTTTTGTCTCCCCTTTAGGAGGGATATTAAGTTTTCATTTCTCGCTCATCATGGCCCTTGTCCACCTTACACGTCTTCAAATTTCCCCTTCTCTTTAACAGACATGGTCTTCCACCTGCCTGAGCACTTCTTAGAAAACTCTGAGAAACCGACAGAGGCATCCAGTGCTGCTGCTTATGTTCCTCCCGGCAAGTTTGCACAAAAAAATGCATTATGATGACATTTTGCCTCTCGGCTTCTTAGGATCGCCTTCTTAGGACTGCCCATGTTGTTATCTTTTTATGTCGTCCGCGAGGCACAGAGTCACCCAGTGTCTTCTCTATGGAGCTCAATGTACTGCAATGGCTGTGAGAGCAGGAGCCAGACGCAGCCTCCTCACTCTCTCCA